CCAGCCCTGCCTCCAGCCCTGCCTCCAGTCAAAGGAGTGGCTATTTCAACATAACCGGCTGGTAAATGCCTGCAATGCGTGTGGTCTCGCACCTTCATGCTGCAAAACCTTTTAAATTAGGCACCTCTTTGCCATACAGAGTTAATGTGATTGTGCAGTAGCTGTAATCTATGGCTCAACAAACAACAAACCTATCTGTCATTTGAACCTGGGTAAGATTTACTCTCTCATAATCAGGGAAGTGGACAAAGGAGAGCACTGAGACAAAGTAAAAATATTTTAAAAAAAAGAAAACGTGCGAGTTTTCACAAACAGAGCTTTGGCTTGATATAGCAGACTTCACTGGAGGTAGCAGAAAAAACGAGGCATAAATGTATTGAGTTGACAATTTTGGTCAAACTGTTAATCAGTATTTTTTTTTCCCTTTGGGAAATTATCTGCCACACTGTCTACAGATTATTAGAAAGGAATCCTAGTGTACATTAGACTAGATTCAACTCGCCAACATAGAACTGAGCATGTCCTATGTAGTCTGAAGTCCAGTCTGCTCCAGCTCTGCTTCACCTCCACATCAGCTTTCTTCCCCTCTGCCTTTTCTTTCTGAGGCACAGCACAACTGTGCAGCTTTTATGAAAGAACTTTATTTTGATGAATGAAAGGCTCTCACTCACTTCCTCTGTCTATGACATAGTATGCAGATGAATGTGTGAATGGAAAGGGGAGAGTGACAGACGGCCCCTAAGGCTCTCTCCCCCACAGACTACCATCCAATCACAGGCGAGCAGGGTGACTCATACTGTACACACACTTACTTGTACACTGAGTGCTCCTCTCTACTAACATCAACTGCACCTCAAAGATGCTGTTCGTCTGCTATTAATACACATACACTGCTTTTACCCCCTAAAATTGTTTTTAAAATGTTGAGTTTAATTTGTGCATCAAATCGCTGAAACAGCTCAGATTAACTTGAATTACACAAATTCCATAGTGGACCTACGTAATTGATTTAACATTAATTAAATACCTATACTTAAATTTAACTTAAATATTTGCATTTCAGTTTAAATTCAATCAGAACAATATGCCAGGCACTGACTAAAGAGTGTTTTACGTATGGTGTTTGCTTCTGATTAAAAGATTATAAAGGACAAAAGCATAGCAGCACTTCTATACCTAGGCCTTGAATTATAGGGGAAGATAAAGAAATTTAAGAATTAAAAACTAAGACTTTAGGAATTTTCTTCAAAACAAATAACTAAATATAATTTGGCAATTGAATACTGTATGTAAATAAACTAAATGTGACCAAAAAATGGACCATCTCCATTTATGTATAAATTACACAGCAGAGCGTTGTCTCCACCTAGTGGTCACTGACAAAAATGCAGTCTAGGCCTTTTTTCAGATGAAATGCCTTCTACGAAATACTGGAAAACAAAAAAAGTGCTATATATTCTCAGAGCATAACATGATCTCTCTCTCTCTCTGTTATTATAACAAATACAGTCACCAAATGCATTTGAGAACCTGGGGAACAACAAATATTTAGCATTTTTTTCTTGAAAGTGAAATGAGCCATAAATTACCAAAGTAGTGGCAGTTGCCGTCTTTGCTATGATTACTCTCTTTTCCATTCTGCCATATGGTGAACTAGCTTAAATTGCATAACCATGACCTTGTCAGGTTTGCCCGGCTGCCCCTAATCTGATTTTGCATGTTGATAAAACTTAACAAAAGAGGAGTCAAATTATTTACTTAAACATTTTAATGATGTTAATTATCAGTCCATATACTAAAGAGTGATGACAGGATTATGAGAAACAGCCTGTAACAATGGTGCTAGAGATGTGCAGCCTGAAGGAGACGGTTTTAAATATCCATATAAAGACAAGAAACACGCTGAAAAAGTACTTAATTGAACAGTTTTTTTTTCACATTAGTTACAAGACCTTTACTAGTACTGTATTTACATAGTGCAAAAACACACTTGATGTCAATTAACATACTTTAAACACTTTGATGGAAGTCATAGCAACAAAAAGCCTATACACATAGCGTACCTTTTACCAAACTAGAGATATTTCCCTAATCCCGAGTACGATATCCAGTACACTGTCATCTCCAATCTCAGGGTTTCACACTGCATACAGTCCAATATACTGCTGTTACACCGCACATCATCCAACAGGCTGAAATCTTACTATGATTTGCTATCAAATTGGATTCCAACTGTTAATATGTCAAAACTATCAAATGACTAAGAACAAAATGATTGTTTTTTTTTTTTACAAGGCGAAATCAACACCAGTTTTACACTTGTATTTACATGGATTTTTTTCGTTAATATGTGCAAGACTTGTGACAACTTATTTTACTAATAGTGGTGACTGCCTCAAGGGAGCACTTTAGAAGGGCAGCTGTAGAATACCAGATCCCTGCAAACACCGGCTTCTCACACTGGTTCATTTCATTTAAAAGATAAGGCCATTCATTTTATATGCCAACAGTATTTTAAACATGCCCCACACAAAGACTAAAACCAGCAATGATTTGACTCTACATAGATAAAAATCTGTCAATCTGTTAACCCAGGATTATCCTGTTCATCTGTGCTATAGACCTCCGTTTTTGTTCAAAAACAATTAAAAGCACAGAGCAAACCACTGGGTTACGTTACCTCGTTACAAAACACCAGACCCTGATATTTCTTTAAAAACATTGCCCCAAAGGCTTCAAACTGCCGTAACTTTTTACAGCATGTGAAGTAAACAAGGGTCAAGGACCAATGCAGAAGGTCGGCGGATATTCTTAGTGTCTTGTGTTTCATGAAAAAAATATGTCAGCCAGTGCAGTGGTGTGTTTCCCTTATGCATTTTGAATTGTTTTTGAACAACAACGGAGGTCTATGGCACAGACGAATAAGGTGATCCAGGACACAGACATTAACAGTAAGTGGAGGCAAATCATTGCTGGTTTTATTCCACGTATAAGGAGTTTTGAAAATACTGTTAATATAGAAAATGACCAGCCTCATCTTTTAAGTAGCATTTCAAAACAGAAATGGAGTCAAAACCAACTGTATGTACAGTCTATGGTCAAACAATCACTTACAGCCTTTCAAGCTTCCCCAATTCTTTCAAAATGTTGTAAACTACACAGGTGGGCCTAAATGTTTTCCTGCTTGGGAAGTAACTGGTTATTCACCAAAACCAAAGTTCTCTGTGGATGGAAGGACTGAAAAAAGCTTTTAAAAACAGTCGTCATCAAACCTTGGTATGAGAAAGCTTTCGAGCCCCCTCCCCATCAGAGAACAAACACCACCAGAGAACAAAAACATTTTTATGAAGCACAATCTGGGAACTCGAGACAATTCTAGTCAGAGGGAAACAACCCCAAATAGTTTCACACCAGGCAAGATCAATATGACAGACCATTACATATTGTAGTAGAACCACCTAGACAAGGTTATATACACAAAGCTTCATTTGCTTCTTAGAAGTTAAGTCATTTGAATCATCTGAATACAGAATGGAACACTTATTATTTATTCATTCAATCACTTTCTACCGCTTACGCTTAATCCCTGAGCGGGGTCACGGGGGAGGGGCCGGAGCCAATCCCGGCCAGCAATCGGGCGAAGGCGGGGTACACCCTGGACAGGTCGCCAATCCATCGCAGGGCTAACACATAGACAAACAACCACACACACGCACATGCACTCCTATGGGCAATTTAGAGACACCAATCAACCTAATCTGCATGTCTTTGGACTGTGGGAGGAAGCCGGAGAACCCGGAGAGAACCCACGCAAGCACGGGGAGAACATGCAAACTCCACACAGAAAGGTCCCAGGTGGGGCCCGAACCCGGAACCTTCTCGCTGTGAGGCAACAGTGCTAACCACTGCGCCACCGTGCTGCCCCTACTTATTATTTAAACATTAAAAAAACCACTCTCCGAAGATAGGATAGAAGTGGTTTTGGCAGAAAGACAGAACCCCTGACACTGTAGTATTCTGTGAGGAAAACTAAACCAAGAACTAACTATGCAATGCATGTATGTTCTTCCTTCATGAAGCCGGGAAGTGACGAACGACATACAGAGTATTTACAAAGATAATGCTACAGTAATGAACACAGCAAAAAAAAAAAAAAAAAAAGCCTTTTTAAATGCCCATTGCCAATAACAAGAAAAACAATGCAATGTCATGCAGAGCTCTGAATAATGTTAAATGGGAGCTGCATGGTTCCATCCTTCCTTCTCTGTGAACTACAGAGAGTAGCAGCTCAAAGCTTTTAAGCACTTATCACTTGCTCCCAGAACAGTCCTAGACTCTTCTGTTTTGAAGAAGGAAAATCAAAAACGTCCTTCTGAATTCAAGTGTAGCAGGTTATGGGCCGAAGACATGAGGGCATAGTTTTAAATTACAACTTGGTTTTTTTTTTTGTGTTTTTTTAAAGAAGTGTTGGTGTAAATTACTACCCCTCCAGCTGTGTTAGCTGTCGTTTGGTCTACAACCCTGTTTGTTTATAAGTTGGTCAGTTTCTCTGTGTTAATAAACTGTGTGTGAGTGTTGGTCAGTTTGCTGGATACCTGAGATTATGTCTGGTGTCAGGGGTTAAAGACAGAAGGGAAAGGCTGCTGGTTGCTGTGAAGAGAGATGCGTGAGAGCAACAGAGCATGGGGGGGAAACAGTGTGTAAGAACAGAGGGAGGAGGAGGGGAAGACTTGATCTCACCCGGTGACCTTCTTAACCTCTGCTTGCTCTTGGCCCGCCACCCTCAGCTCCGTGATGTCCTCTGAATCAAGGTCCTCCTCATCCTCACTCTGCCCTCTCTCCTCTTCATTGTCTTCCTCCTCCTCATCTGTACTTTCCTGGTTCTTTCCCAGTTGCAGGTTTTCCAGGGTCTTTGACACCCAGGATTCAATCCGGCTGCTGAGAGTGGGCACCTCCAGAGAAATAGGTTCAGGAGCGTAGTCTTCCTCCTCCTCCTCTTCCTCCTCTGCCTCTTCTAACATCCCCGGGACCAGGGTGGAAGTGGTGGAGGTGATAGAAGAGTTCAGTGGGCCCCTGCAGCTTCCATCCAATGAGCCCGTCTCCGTGCTCTGCTGAGAGGCCAGTTCCAGCCGGTCGTCAACCCGCACCTCATCTCTCTCACCGGAACCCTGTGTCTGGGGCCCTGCCCTGGGCTGGAGAGCGGCGGAGCCCGGTGGGGCAGGGTTGGTGGTGGCCTCACTGTCCCTCTGGGCAGCTGTGGAAGGTGCAGGGCGACTTTGCTCAGCCTCCACAGGATCCAGGCCGTCTGAAGTCTCCACCATACTCCTCCAGTTAGTCTCTGAAGCAATTCATAGATTTGTTAAGATTCATTTTCTCAGGTGGAAAGTAATTAAGTACTACTTCAGAACAGTTCTGTAGAATTTCCACTTCCCTTGAGTATTTCTATTTTATGCTACTTTATATTTTCAGATAATATTGTACTTCTGACTCCACTCAGCTGACAACTATAAATAGCCAATTACTTTTCAGATTAAGATTGTATGTAAAAACTATGACTGAACCAAAGGCCCCAAACCTTTTCAACTCTTGACCTCCTACCAATTAAGTTGAGGCCCCTTGTCACAAATTTCAGATGTTTAAACTTAACAAATTCTTCATCATTTAATGTATTATTTGAGGCACACAAAAGTCAACTCATGCAATATATTGTATAAAGTATCTATAGAGAAAAATCTGAAAAATGAATACATTTTAAGGAACAGCACTTTGTTTTCCTTCCCTTTTACTACATTAACCTGCTCACACCTCTCTAGATTTAGGTAACGACCCTTTGGAGTGGGCCCAACCAACAGCTGGGAACCACTGAACGGAAATACCTAAAGTAGTTAAAAAATAACTCATCCACCTCAATCAGCTACAACAGCAAAATGCTGCTCATGCACCGATTCATCAGTTTTAACAATAAACCAGCTGATTTTAATTAGGCACAGTAAAGGGACCTGAATACATCTTCCACTGCCAATTACAGATAACCCTAAAAACTATGACAATCAATAACACAGAAATAGAAACGAGTGAGCTTACCGTACTCCTTTTCATTGACCTCCGAGATCGGCTCAGAGAAGATGGAGCAAAAAGAGATGGCAGAAGCAGCAGAGTGGTTGCGGGAATGACCCATGTGGTGTGGGACTTTGTCATTTTTCAGAGCCTCCTCGGCCTGCTCCTGCTCCATGGCTGACACCATGTCCTTGTAGGCCTTCCTAGCCTCTTCAGTCAGTGACACCAAACGGTTGAAGAGACCCTGAAAAAAGCAAGAGGGAGAAAAACATGAGTAATTGGAAATGATCCTGTTTCCAAGGTCTCAACTTCCCTCTACTGGTCAACATACAGACAACCGCTTAGCTAATGTCTGTATTTTATTAATTCTTTCACTCCAAGTTAAGACAGGTTATACAGATAAGTATTAACAGCAATGCATGACAGTCAAGAGGTTGGGGTTGAGGGGAAAGCCTTACCTCAGCTCCACAATAGTTGAAAATGCCAACCACACTGACAGGCACTAGTTTGTTGACACAGCGGCCGAGAGCTTTTCTGCCCAAGGCAAACACAAATGGGATCTCCTGCTCCCTAGCCATGGCAATTACATTATATAAAGCTTCATCCAGACCACCTGCAACACAGTAGGTAACTAGTGACTCAAATGTTTCAAAGTTGAGAACATAAATGAACAGAAAATGCCAGTCCATTACTTGAAAACAACAATGGAAAAGCTTCTTGTATGCAAGGTGGCCTTCAGAGCTGCACAACTCAGCATCTACTCATATGTGACTGCTGCTGGGGGCTTGTACTTGTTAGTAAACTGATACTTATTTACACATGCAACATTTACAGAGAAACGTCATTTATTTTGAGTTGTGCTTCTGTCCACCTGGCGAATGGCAATATCCACCTTGTTTTAGGTTTGTTTTTGGTTTTGACCAATGTGTGAGGAAATATCAGGCTCTTTAGCTGCTAAATATTCTACTACATTCATCAGCTAGTCAGTAACCGTGTCTGTCTCAAGTCTGGTGCGGAGCAGGTAATGTGCTGAGGGTTTTTAAATCTTTTATGCTGAAAACATGGTGACAGTCAACCAAAAACAGTGAAGCTGGGGACTGGACAGCTAAACAATGGCCCCATAAAGCTCAATAACGCTGAGGGAGCAGCGGATTCAGGTGGAAATTCTTTGTAGTTACAATACTACAAACAACCACTTCACACTGTCCTTTGATACATTGTTATTATAAAAATCTCGATTACAGCTGCTTTACATATTTTTATACCAGAAGCTGGTCAGACCTCAGACAATTTGATCAATTATAGACTGATGCTGAAGATGGTATTGCAACACCCTTCACCTTTGGCCTGGATCTTCTCACAGTTAGGAGAGATGATGACACACTTAATCTTATGCAACTTCATGTGCTTAGTGACCTCTCTAAGACCCATGACCAGGCGGCGCTTAGATTTGGCCTTGGTGGGATCTTTCTGGTAGACCCGCTCCTGGAAGCGAACAAGTTCCTGCAATAGCAGAGTCACGCTCTCATCGATCTCTTTACTTAGAACTTGGTTACAGTACCTGCAGAAGAAAAATGACATCGGATGGCAGGGTAAAAAAAAACAACAAAAAGATTACAGATGTTCAAAACACATTTAACACTGTGAAATGTTAAAGGCTTTAAAACTACTGAGTTTATCACTGGTCAAACGACAGAAGGACTCTCCACAATTTTGACAAAAATCATTTTTCCCAAGTAGAATGATAAATGTTCTCTGGTTGCAGCCCCTAGATTTAGATTATTTGCTGCTTATTTGTCTTAATAATTAACCAAATATCTTTTGGTTTGCAATGTGATGATGTTGAGTAGAAAATTGTAATGGGTATTTTTATTTTACTTTTTGTCTGACATTTCATAGATCAAACCTCCTGCAAAACAATCCTCAGAGCAATCCAGCATGAAAATCATTTACTGAAGTCCTTAAACGACTTTAGTCTTTGCATGCTTTAAAATGATTCAATCAAAGTTCATATAGCTGTTCATGACAACTTTAATTGCTTATGCTATTGCACAATGTTGCTTTCTGACCCCTTCCCTGAATCAGGATAAGCAATGCATCCTCTCTAAGAAATCAGATAACATGCACACTCCTAGTAGGTTTGAGGTTCGAAGGGTGACGTAATATGGTCTGAGGAACAAGTGTCCTGGCGAGCTGAGAGGAGGAGCCTGGCTACAGAAGCCTTTCAGAAGCTTTAAATGCAAAATCTGTTAGAGAAGGGTGGGCTGGGACAATAGGCCTACAGCGAAGGACACAGAGGGAACAATGCACTGTTTGTGACCACTGGCATACGGTTTTGCTGACAAGGGACAATGTTCTAGGCATCTGTGACTCTCTACAATTCTTTATTGTACAGTTCCACCCTTAAAAACACCCGTTAGCATTTGGAGTATGCTACTCACAGCCAAGGCTCTGTGATTTCCGAGTAGGACAAATATTTGCTTCGCTAAGAATTTCTTGTTACCACGTCATGAATTTTTAAGAAATCCTAATGCCAGAGATTCCCACAAAAATGGTCTCTCCTGCTGCTCACTCTGTGCTGGGCAGGAGTGTGAACTCACTCTCTGAAACGTCGGCTATGGATCTTGGTGATGGCGTTGGAAGCCATGGGACTCCCAATGCCAGAGCTGGCAGGAGAGCCCTGGGATACTGGAGTGATGCTATATGGAGAGTTTTGACTGGCTGGGGAAAGGGACGTATCACTGGGCAGACTCAGACCATTCTCTGTGGTACAAACAGCAGACAAGAAATAACAATTAGAAACTAACACAGGTTCAACTGAAATCCTTTCACTTCTTAATGAGGAATGTCCCTCACCTTCTTGGGAGGCAGACTCTCGTGTAAGGTCATCAGTAAAGGGTAGACATTCATCCCCATGCTCCTCCTGGCCTGAAGACTCCTGTTCTACAGTCACCTTGCCTTTTTTCCCTTCACGTTCCTTCAAGATAATCTACAGACACAAGAACAAAAACTATGTCAGTCAAGGCTATTTGAAAAGAACTGTAAATAACTAGTAAATCCTGTAAACTGTAAATAACATCTTCCTTCCACCTCTCCTGAATCATTAAGTTCAATGTCAAATCAACCTTCTTAAGGGCTGTTGGCCGTTTGACTTTGGGGATTTCTCTCTCCTTCCCTCTCTTGATACGGGGTGCAGTGGAATCCAGTGGGTTATGTGGAGCTGAGCATGGCTGCTGATGACACTTTGTCATGGACGGCACATTGGTTGAGCCCGATCTATGGAATGGAGTGGCTGTTCCAACTGGAGGAAAGGACAAAAAAAAAAACATTTGTACATGCATGTGTAGCGGGGTTGAGAATATTTAGTTTGTGTTGGGACTGTCGGAGTTTTGGATTAAACCCAGTGGCCATAGTCTGGCCACTCAGTGGAGACAGCAATTCAAGCTACTGCCAGCCAGGGTTACCAAGTTAGCTATAAGGAAACAAGGACATATAAAACAGTACAAAAAGTGAGACCATCTGCAAGATTAGCCAAAAAGACTACAAAACTATGCAATGGGGCATGCAGAAAATCCCAAAAATCCCAAAGTAACACTGGTAGCAAGTACAACATCGCTAGCACTAAATGAAAGATACCTGATAGGATGACTGCTTAACACCACATACTATATCCTGAAATAAGACTATGTAATAAGACAGTGCAAGCTTACACCCAATCCTGTCAATGAACGCAGGGCTATTGCATGGTAGTGTTAAACTTTTTATGCTGCTTGTTAATGTCTAATTGAGTTTATAGGTACCTGTAAAAGACAATGGCTTGGTATTAGTGAGCTGCCTGGCTTTCATTGCCTGCTGATGTTTCTCCAACGCTGCTAGCATGTCTCCCAGGTCCAGCTCAACAGAGGTTTTACTCTTCTTCCCTGCTGCTTTGGTGAATGCCTCCTGACAGGTGAGGAAAGAAAATACAGAACAACACTACACCAATGAACCAGTCAAATACAACTAAAGGTCAGAATCATAGGCAATTGATGAATTTAAGAAAACAAAACACCCTGGTCAGTCTCCATTGACTTAGATGAATGTATTTACTCTGAGATAAGGAAACAGACTCTACATGAGAAACATCATAGAATATGCTTAACTGTCCTTTTCCTGCCAGTCTCTTATACCACACCTGCAATGAGGACAAGGTCAGTTATCTTGTCTCTCAATAAATACTGGACAGTCTGCCGTTCACAGTAACAGTGATCCTTAGTTTTTATAAACCTAGTTTAACCATGACCAGAATAATTCATATCCATGACCGCCAGTTTGTTTGAGGAGCAGCCCTAATTGAACAAGGAAAAGAAATGCACCAACCAGCCATAATCATTCAGAATGCTCAGTCTGAATCCAAACTACATGACCAGCAGTCATAGTGCAGGTTTCTACCTGTAATTTCTTCTGTTCCATGCTGATTTCAGAGTACTCCTGTGCAGTGGCCAAGGCAGCAGCCAGAGCCTTCTTCCTCTGGCTCTTGGCCCTCTTGGGAACAGAGGTGGTAATGGGGATGGGTGTCTGCACAATGTTGATAGGGGAGTTTTCTGGTAGGTTGTCCAGCTGTGATGCATATAAAGACAACTCGGTATTTAGTAATGGTGTAAAGATTAACAGATACAGTACAAGAGTTAGAGGTTTGGTTGTTTAGATATACTTTTGACAAGGCATTTTAACATTTAATCGTTAAACTGAATATACAGTGTAGATTCAAAAATCTTTGAATATTCAAAACACATTGTGACTAATAAAAATGTCAGTACAGATATCTATAATTTGTATCATGACTACTAAAAATACAATTTCAGAAATTCACAGATTTATTATGGATATTTATCTGGAATAGTTTATTTTGGATATCTGAAACTTAAATTAAACCAGATTGTATATATCTGAAATGAGTTTGTCCTAATAAATATATTCTATTATTTCAATTAAAATGAGAAAATGGCTTGTCATATGCACAACCTTTTTCCACACACAAATTCTGCATACCTTTTATATATCTAGATACATATCAAGTTGACAGAGATGGAGAGAATATGTCAGCACATGACAAAGAGACTTCAGAAACAACTTTTGCTTACCAGGTTTTTGGGTAGTTTAGGCTGCGTGTGTGTCTGCGCTGAAGCAGATTCTGGTTTGTTGCTGCGTTGGACAGCTCCTCCAGTGGTGAGATCTGGGAACTCATCTTCATCCTGACAGAAAGAAAAAAAGAAAGTCACTTTCGGCTTTTCCAGTTTTTAGGGGTCGCCACAGCGAATCGTCACACTGACGGCTCGTATGTTGACATTTGGCACGTGTTTTACACCGGATGCCCTTCCTGACGCAACCCTTATCCTGACAAACATGTAAAAAACATTTAAGCACAACAAACAAACTCTGCCCAAAATAAATCTATTATGAGTGTGACAGTAACAGTACTGCATTGAAATATACAAAAAAAAAAATCTCCTGTCACCTCAAAATAGAGGGGCTCTGAAGTGAGCTCAGCACCCACAACCACTGTTGGCTGTATCCTCTGCTCCGTCTGGTTGGGTGGCACGCGCCCTGGATAGCCACTGTGGAAATCCTGAAACGCAGACAGTGAATATAGGAGTCAGACATGGTACCACTGATATTTGATAAGCCCATTACCCTCTGTGCATTTGTGCCCAAACTGTTGGGTTAACCTGGTAGGAAAAAAGTCAACAGCAAACATAGCAAAGCTTGCAAGCTAATTCAGATAAACAGCACACCATCACTACCTTTAGTGAAGATTTCTCTGTTCAAGAAAGTCTCGCAATACATTGACTCATGATTATATTTCTGTGAATGTCTGTATGGTCTTATTTAAATTGTTCATTGAATATGTGGGATGGACATTTCTTGCATACTGCACATCAGTAATGCGTCTTGAATAGGAGACACATTGCAGCCAGTTAGGGATGCTAGTATTTCACTTCTTTTTTTTTTTTTACCAAGTCAAAATCAGCAAAGAAAATGCTGACACCAAATGCTTAACACCTGTGCTTTGCTACTCACATGGCTAGTCATTCTGTTGATACCACTGTCTTCAGTTGTTGCTAAATTATTGCTTATTGTTGTCCAAATGCATTTTTGTCCTCTTCACAACATGTGGACTCTGTTCCCAGAAGTTAGAATGGAGATATATTGTGCATTGACTCTTCCTCATCTGCTGCTTAGTAAGCTTTAGTCTGACTTACAGGATGGAACCTTTACACCCAAAACAACCACAATTAACCTATTCTTTCTTAATACCAGAGTTGTTCTCCTGATTTTTTACTCAGTGTCTGCTCCAAAGGGATCTATTATACCTGGGAGAAGTTTCTCTGTTCAGGGTTCTTCCTCTGGTCTGCTCTGTGAAAATGACCATTCCTGTCCCCCCAAGGCTTTGGGGTAGCCTGAGAGGCTACATTTACCCAGGTACCTGCAAGAAAGTATTTATCAGGTAAATCAAAAATAATGAAATTATTTGTAATATGATATATACACAATGCATACAACATATGGTTATGAAAGAACACTGAACAATCTGAGGTAAGGAAGGATTCCCAACAACTAGGGATGGGATGACTTTTTGTGATACGATTGAATGCAAGATATGGTGTGTACAATTCAATTCAATCACAATACAATTAAAAATTCAATAGCAATAATGTTGTACTAGCTGGGGAATACTTTTATTTTAATCCTTTTTTCCCCTTTTCTAGCACTGGTTTGATTATGCAAAGAACAAACAGATATATTGACTTAGGTTCTCTTATTTACAAAAAATATGAATTTGCTGTGTATGGAGACCACTCAATATATATTGCTAAACAAAATGCTATATATTGTGATGTTTCTGTATTGTGATATACTGAATTTCCATATATTGTCCCATTCCTACTAACACCTCATTCAAAATAATATTGCATTAAACTTACCTGTCATTACACCAGCCTCTACCGCCTACACAACAGAGAAAATACAGAAAAGAAAGTTAAATCTAGTGCATGTGAAATCTGCTATGTTAAATCTGCTACTAACGCTGAGGGCAACAGTAATGTAGGGACTACATTATACCTCCCTCATTGGTAGTTGCTCTATGACCTGATGCTACACAAGCAGAGTCTTGTATGTTTTCATATGTACAGTACGTCCTAGTTGATAATGATCAACACTTTATTTGGCCAAGTATGCAAGGAATTTGTCTCCGTCATCCTAATGCAATATTCCCATGACAGTTTGATCCTCATAATATGATTCCTTGAGCATGAAAACCTATACCTAGCATTCGGAATCACATTGATATCATTATTAGGTTGAAAGTTATTCAAGAAAAATGACATTTCAGTAATGGTTTTCTTCAGGATCTAGTTGAGGAACTTCTGAAGATACATCAAATCTGTTGTCACCCCTCTCAATCAGCAGAGCTTCAGCTAGAAATTGATCATAGTTGCAAGTCTGTAGCATCATTTGGTGTCTCACAGTAGCAAGTTTTCCACAAGGCCTATAAATGTGAACATTCTGGATCAGCAGCTCTGGAATATTACTTGGATCCAGATCATACTTCAGTGTCTGGTAGATCTTATGCGGATGTTACGGTGCAAATTTTGTCCAAGCATTCTAGGTGCTGTGTATGGTCAGAAGCAAAAATACTGAGTTGAGTTACTGTATGTTGTGAACAAACCAACTAACAAACGCTGGTAAAAACCTTGGCAGAAGTAAAATGTCCTACAGTAAAGGAAATTCACCAATTGTGCAAAATCAAAAGGAGGATATGTTATGATTGTAGTACATTTTATCACAAATTAATCTGCATGAGCAGCTTTTACTTCAAGGCTGTGTAAATTAAATCTCAAACAGCTCCTGACCTTCAAACTTATCAAAAACACCAATAACAACATACAGTACAATAGTCTGCATTATTAATTTAGAGGACAAATTTTAAGCTATGACTCAGCCTTGGTGTAGGAAAAGCACAACCTGACAGACTCTCTTCAGCAAAAACATATTACTTGAGGACAAAGATGATGAAATGATCAATACATTTTCAAGTTCCAATTTGGTGCCCAAGTTATTTTTCATGTTTGTCTTGTTACATTGCAAAAGTGTCAAAAAATCAATTGTGAGTACTTTTTATGACGTTTCTCTCTTTGTTCTTCCATAAAACAGTTATTTTTGTTTACTCTTCTGGAACTCAAGAGTTCTCACAATCAAATGTGATTTGGGGCAACTAGCTAAACCCACTTACCATGTAAAAACACACAACCATTACCTGGTGTGTAGAGCAGACCAATATAGTAAGGATATGTGTTTAGATTTTAGCTGGCAAAAACGGTGTATATTTCTAAATAATGCGATTATGGTCTAAATGATTGATTTAGCACTTAACCTCCTCCTCCTCCTTATCTAACCACACAGGTGAGAGTGAGTGAACAGACCTACCACTTCATACTGCACAATATTCACTAAGCCACAACCACTTGTCACAAAACAATCAAATTTCAAGGACTAAATTTGAAATCCTCTTTTACTTAAAGGCACATATTCTGTTTCACTCAGAAACGCATCACAGTACTGAAGCTAAAGATGCTCTAACCGCCTTCCACTGTGACTTTAAGAACAATCAACATCCTATTTGATATCTGCAGAGCTGCCTTTATTTTGTGCTTCACATATTTACGGTGGTTTTCCAATTATTTAATTAAAACTAACGCTCCATTTGACTTTAGGTCTGTTGAGTCTTGAGCTGATTATAAGTAAACAACATACCACGGGTGCTGGTGTATTCTCGGTTATCCGTTGTGTAGCTCCAGTTGCCTGGTTGTGTTTGGGGCTACAGTAGCCACTATCACTGTCTACATCTGCCTCACTGGCAGCCTGCTCGCTGAAGCTTTCAGCTGGATGGGATGCCCGTCTTCGTTCTGTATGGCTCTTCCACAGCAGGGGGCTAGCCTGCTCAGCAGCACACCGCCCTGACACCTCACCTGGGAAATCTATGGACAAAGTTGAAGAAAGAGACCCGAAATGAACTTGTTAAACTTTGTTATAATGTGGAATTAGGCTGCTACCATTTAGGTGTCAATAAAATTACTGTAGATTAATCAACAGAGACTCATAGAACACAAACTTGGACCATCTCTACTTTAAATTTAAAGTACGACTTGTTTTTCCTCCATGCGACATACAGCCACAAATGAGTATCAAAACTGTTTACACTCTCACTACAGTTAGCTCTAGCTTTCTGACAAATGTAGACATAGTTGGTGATGTCATGAGCTGCATAGGTTACCCTTTCCAACTGGAAACTCTTCATTCCAATTCTTTCAGAAGTTAAGCACAAGAAAAGCAAGGGAAGTTTATTTATAGAGCACATTTTCACACGCAAATGCAATTCAAAGTGCTTAACACAATGCACACAGATGGATAAAACATTAAAATGCATATATAGATAAAACATTAGAATGCAAATTAGCTGTGCCAGACCGTGGATTCTCACTGCTCTCATTATATTTTGTACCCCTTTACTATTCTCTTCACAAGACAAACCTCTGAGTAACATTAGAGGTGGTTGTACTGTCTTCTGGGAACTGAAAAAACCTTAGAAAAAAATCAACTAGACTTAGATTTCTAGATTGGGCTGCAACAACTCAGTCGTTGAGGGACATTGTTGGCCTTCAAAGGACTGAAACACCACCGAGGGGGATAAATATCTACGGCTCAACACCAGTCAGTCAGGACTGATGAAGCCTCTTGGATGAGAGGTGAAACGTCTTCGATCTAGAAATCTAAGTCCAGTTGATTTTTTCTAAGGATTTTTCAGTTTACTATGACCTGGATGACTGAGAATCTGCACAGACATGTCTTCTGGGAATTAGAAACAGCAGTGTGTATACAGTCAGCTAAACAGTCCCAAAAGGTTTTAGTATAGCTGTGGCAAATTGTGAATTCTCACTGTTCTCAGTGTACTTGTACACCTTTACTTCAGTCTTGGGAAGACTGAAGTAAAGCATCATCAACATCAACCAGAACAACCAGACATTGTACCAGCATTGTTTCCTGCTTCCTCATTGACATGAAAGATTCCTCTATGCAGGCAATGTAGCTCATTTTAACAAACTGGAATGTTTTGAGCCGCTGCTTCCTTTCAGTCATAAGTCACAAAAACATCACTGACAATGGCCATATACTTTACTGGAAAATCTAATTTAACTGTAAACATCTGCATGGTACAACTTAAATGCATCTTTAATTATCGCTGCAGTATTCTTACCTGTCTGCTGTGCTGCATCCACAAGCATGACTGTCTTAGTCCTACCATCGGGCCCCAAGGTACACACCTCCTTTTGCACAGCTACACTCCTGGTTGGAGGTCGGCGACTCCTTGAAGGCTGGCACACACTCAACTGTTGCTGTAGAAGGAAGAAAGAAAGAAACAGGGGCAGGGAAAGCTCATTAAATAGACTGAGGATGATGAGGAGGGACACTTTTTAGAAATAAAACCAGAGGGTGCCAATATGATATTATCACAGTGACCTTCTGTACCTTTGGGAGAACATTAGGTCGGACCATGCCTCTTCCCCTCTGATTGGTAATCCCATATGCTGGCCCCAGGGGCAGTGGTCTTTCACCAACATCTGCTGACACAGGGCTCACCACTCCAGCTTGCACAGGACCTGCATAGGTGCCAGGGAAGGGCTGATAGAAGCCCATCATAGGTGGGCATGGAGCAGGCATAATCTGATAGTAAGCGTAGTCACTGGAGACAGGAGGCTGGGGGGAAGACAAGATAGGGTAGGCCAGGTATGGAGCACCAGGGGTAGGGTTAGGCTGCTGCCAGCGCAGCTCCCCTCCATTATACATAGGATGTTGCCTGTAAAACAGCAGCGAGGTAACATTTTAGATTATTTCTGATATTTTAGTCTTTCAACTTTAAGCAATTCTGGATTCTAAAAGAAACAATCATTTTATTGCCCATTTCAGTGAAATATTTCATGTACTGTGCTTTTGAAAATGCTAGCTGCTAAAAACTGTATTTTCAATATTAGTGGCAGCTAGAGATTGAGAGGCTGTCAAATCTGATCCAAAATTTCTTGCCACAACATTAAGAGAATGGCAATTCTCTTACAATGGATATTATATAAAATAGTACATGACACTCAAAATGTTATACAAAACCAGAGAAAGAAAGGCTGTGATGCATGTAATGCTGTCTTACTACTAAGCTAAGCTAATACTAAACCTTTGGAATTTGTTTCCCTTGTTTAAAAAACATCCCAGTTTGCATTTTTTGCAGTAAACATGCAGCAATTTGGAGGAGACTTGATAACCTGGGCTCCATAAAATGAAGAGGGCCTTGAGAGAGTTGAAGCTAAGGTTAACTTTTGTGATGCTGCAGAGATGTGCATTGATGGTTGGTTTGTTTGGGGGTTTCTACATGGTATGCAGAAATGTTGACAAGGATCCAGATGACATTTACACAGCCAGCCCACTACAAGGGGCATTTCCTTGCATTCAAATAGTGGGGAAGGAAACAAAAGAACGGATGTGTGCAGGATACAGCAGATCACTCTGGACAAAGATAAAGCCATAGAAAACAGACTGTGTAAACTCTGCAACTCTGGGGAGGTTTCCCATTCATAATTAAGCAGAATTACACAACAGAGCAATCTAATGGCTCTAAATCAATACCCTGTATAAAGGATCTCACTGTGAGCTATTTGATGAAACAGGACATTAAGGGTGTGGTGTTTTAATCTTATTCTCATAGTAAACAGTGCAGTGAATGAGTTATTCTGGAAACAGAAATGTCCTGTCCTTTCCACCAAAGTTAATAGTTTTGACAAAATCCAGAATTAAATGGGGTTGAAGTAAGTGACTTTAGTTTCATCCATTTCCAAAGCAGAGTGTCAGTGTGTCTGAGTAACAGCACCTGTTGGGCTGGTTCTCCTGGACAAAAGGGTAGCAGGTGATGAGGTAACTAGGGATGGGAGTGGTTTCCACACCTCCGCTGCCTCCACCCCCTCCACTGCCCACCTCTCCAGAGAGACTCATGCTGATTAGGGATCCTTCAAAACCTTTCTTCTGTGGGATGAATGGTTCCACTTCGGCTGAAAGCTTCACATCCTGCACAGAGACAAATGAAGATCCATTACTGTCACACTGTGAGCAACAGCAGCCAATTAATGACTACATGCTGCATCTGAGAAAGATACAGGTCGACAGCCATTATTTTATTATCGTTATTGTCATCTCACACTAATCAAAAGGTAGCTGTAGGAGGGAAGCAACAATCCATATCAACACAGCCACAGCAACTCACCTATGGACTTGAGCCAGAGGCTGAGAGTAAGCTTTACATAATCTACCAGCAGACTTATCTGCCTACATTTTGTTTAGTGGTAATCACAGCAGAACACTGCACTCCCTCATACTTTTACAGTCTTGAGTGTATACACGCGTCAATAAAAACAGACCAGTCCTTAACACAAGACAAAACCTTTTTAAGTTCAAATATGACCTAATGCACAACGACCAGAGGATCCAGCCAACGTAAGCAACACGTCACAGAAGGGCTGCAGCCATTCTGACTGTCACATTACATGGCTATGAAATCTGCAGCTGGATAAAGAGAAAAGTCATTGACCAGCTTCTCAGTTAAGAGTCAATTTATAAAGTATTTAAATAGTGTCCATTACCTATTTAGCAAAGGGTAAAAAACATTCAGAATTTACTCTGCAAGTTAAAAGTGGACAATTTCAAAGCTGGTAACATCATATTATTCACTTTTTTAAAAGCCTTTGACATGCACTTTGAGAGCACTAAGGGACAAACACCAGACCAGCCTGGTAATTAGGGCTATTTTATCAAATTAAGGACTTAAACAGTCAGTTTCTCTAAAAATGTGAAAGCAGGTAGGCCTACATAGGGTAAAAATAAAGATGATCAGATGTGTTATATGGTCTCCAAACTGCTGTTTTTCTAAATTATGACAACAAGGATCTGAATATGAGAAGATAATTCAGCACTGGCAACTCACTATACAGCAGGGCATGTACACCGCAGAAATCCTCAAAGCCTTACACTGTCCCTAATACTTACTAAAACTGTGTGTCATAATGATGTGATGAAATATTCAGCCTAAAATCATTTTATTGCTGGAAAATATTTCTTAAAAGGAATGATGAGCAACAAGTAAAAATGCCCCCATCAAGCAATATGGAGCTCTAGAGCACTCAAGACAAAAGGTCATATCCTGTATACAATTTACCACAGGATATACATAATCAAATACTATATAAATCAGTAAATAAAGCAATTCACTCAGAAAACTTATAATATGGCTTATTTTAGTGCAATAAAGGCCTCCCAAAAATCACTGTGCACTAACTCAAAGTTTTCTTCCTGTCAGCCTGGTTTTATGGGCCTCCATGTTTATGATACAATAGGCCACAGATTAGACGGTTGGGCCAACAGAAGGCAGGCTTTGGACTGAAACAAGTACCTCCAAACTCAAACTACACTTTTTCTGTAAACAACTACAGACATTGTCTGTAATGGGTAGGATTATGTGGTGAAGAGGCAGACCTATGCATTTTCTTAATAAATTTAAAATAAAAATCAAATCAGAAAACATGCAATTGTTCAATGAACAGTGCTGTACACAATTTTAAATATACAAAGTGACAGAGCAATGCTTTCTACTGCACACTCGTATAGTTATTTTAGTGTTAACATCAACATTATCGTGTTAGTATAGCTTTGAGACTTTTCACATGTCTGACAAAATATGAAGAAAATGAGCAGCAACACCAAGGCAAAACTACATTCTCTCAGTAGTGAATTTGCTCAACATGTCAAATCATTACTGCTATAATGCCATAAGGCTGTAAATAACTATCTAATTGAAATGATCAATTTGTAGCAAAACCCAAAACCATTTTTCCTAATAAAACTACTGTTCTTGACCTGAGTGTCACTGTCTTTTCCCATTGCTGTCTCTGTATGGAATGTCTTTCACACCTCTGAGTGCTCCTCATGTGAAGTCACTGTGGCCCTGGTGTAGCCCCGGGTGGCAACTCTGTCCAAGCAGTCCCATTAAAATATTCTACAATTCTGCAAAGGATGAGGAGAGGTGACAGGGTTCAGAGTACAAAGATGCCCCCTCACATCTCTGAAACAGTGGTCAGAATGCATGAATAGAGCATCAGTAGAGCCAGTGGATATTACACAGACAGCTATTGTCTCCCACTGATACAGTCTGTTGGTGGTTCTCTCACTGTGGATTTTCCTTTGGTAATCTATAGATATCATCCTATCTAAACAGTCATGGGTGAATGAGAAAAGTTCTACAAATTCAGTAAAGGAAGATTTTTACAATTACAATAGCAGTGCTAAGGATAGTCACCGCCGAGCCCAGGATGATATGGTAACAAGGGTTTAAGACTACAGTAGTTGAACCTGTACAACAGTACTGTATAGGTAATAGGGTGTTTTTATAGGTTTAAGTTGAGAGGATAACGTAGGTACGGTATTACAGGATAAGCTAATTACACAGCAAGCCAATGCATGGAGGTTCCATGTGTTCTGACAGTGAATCTTGAATTTTGAACACTTGGGGAGGAAAACAATTATTAAAAAGTTTTTTTTAATCATCTCTCACTTAAACCACATGTTGTCTTTGTGTAGCTGTGAGTTTGTGAGAATAGCTGTGATTGTGAAAAGGGCGGTGAGGTCAGCCCCAGATGTGCATCTGTTGAGGATGACAGAACTTGAGTGGTTAAACTGGGGGCTATTGATCTCGCAAGCCTCTGTTGTGAAAGCATTTATTCTACACAGGTCACTTTCAAACAGCCTCTATTGTCTACTGAAGGTTGGGTGTGTTGTGTAGAATTTTTAAGAGACGTCACATTAATGAAGACAGGTGATGAATGTCACAACAAATGATTACAAAGTTCCAGATATATGTCACAACAAATGATTACAAAGTTCCAGATATAGGCAGCCAGAACTTGACACACAATAACCCCATCATTAAATGTCTATTCTCACAGGTTAACCTGAGGTACTGGCAGTATGCCTGACTTCAAACACAACCAACCAAACTAAACTTTCTGCATTCCAAACAGCATCAGAGGAATGCTATACATGCAGAAAAACAAGTTATTCCCTATCTTAGTCCACGAAACCTCTTCTGACGCTCTCATGTAAACATTTGAGTGAAACCTTCTTGTGCAGTCTGTCTCTCCAAAGTGACCTAACATTACAATTTCAAAACAACATATTAGCTATCTGTCGGTCCGACACCAGCTCGGTCAGCTGACAGCTGAGATGTTTAGCTTTAGCTAGCTAACCTAACTAAGCTAACATTTAAAACGTACTGTATTTCTGCGCTTAACGCATAGTTATATTGTCACAGAAATACAAAGTCATTCTGTAAAATAAATAAAAAAATAGCAACACAACAGAAGAAAACAAACGCATTACCCGCTATCTTATATAATGAGCGCTAGTTACCGTTAGCTATTTTTAACGTTAGCTAGCTCCCTAGCCAAATGTATAGCATTAACTTTTCTCCTGCCTATAACAAACCATCAAACTCATCGTACTATATTAGTATGGATATTGACGACATTGGCTAGCGTTAAGTCGAATTTATGCTACGCCGTCATCTGTAATTACAATTACGGAATAGCGGCTGTCTGAATAACACCGAGACAGTGTGGGCCTCGACAGTACAAACTGACGTTATGCTGCCCTTTTCCTACACCGAAGCTTTAGCATGACCCCAACATCAACCAGATAATCTTAAAATAAAGTGTACCTTATTGTCACTAGCGTCCATGTCAGTCACCGACGCCGCGACAGAGCGAGACTGGCCACAATGTGGACGTCAGGATGCGAGTCTCTTTAATTTCTTCATACTACATAATAACCTCTTAAGACATATTAGTGACTCCCGGACAATTCCTACTGACTAACTAGCAGTAATCGCTAATGCTGTTGTATCAACTAACTGCGCTCTCCACACACTAGACTGTGGCTTCGAGCAACAAAACTGCTGTCAGTGTGGAAATGGGAGTCACCTGGAACGGAAGCCGCTGAGGCCCAGAAAGCTTTTACCGGCTGGAAAATGAAGGACGTCACAAGTGCACAGAAATATCTTCAATATATAATTCAAATCAAGTGAGAGAGATTTTTTTTTTAATTTCTTATTACAGTTAAAAACTTTTATTCAAGTTCTACTGTATTAAATTTACCCCGTTACACAGCTCAAACTTTGTGGCTAGTCAAATGCAATTGAATCCTTTCAATGCTGAGAGATACATCTGTTTATTACCAGCAGGCAACAGTATACATTAAAATACTGTGTACATGTTTTCATACACATTTGGACTTTTTTAAACAACTGAAGTATTTTGTGTTGCACATTGAAGGATCTGCCAATCAGGAATATGAAAAACAAAAATAAGAGTCAGTGACTTCCTCTCAGGATAAAACACCACTTTGACCACGTTCTTGTGGTTCTTGGAGTCATCTTGAAATTGGTGCCATTCTGAAAACCTGTGCTGTGTATCTTGTTTCAGAGGATATGAAGTAGCACACTTTATGGATGTATTCAAACATGCCATTCCCCTTGTCTCTCCATTTTACATGCCATCATGTGAGCTTGCTAACAATGGCTTGGTTCAGAGAGTTCAGCTGATTTGTCCATTTGTCTAAAGCTGTGTAGCGCGCCCCTCCTCTCTTCTGGTAGTCCAGTTCTAATAGCTGGTTAACTTGGTCGATTCGGCCGTGGATGGTGCTAAAAAAAACAACACGTCAGTGTATCAAACAGGTCCTACAGTTGTACTGCAGTATATCCCATCTAGCTGCTAACTGTATAATTGGGATAATGCAGTAGTAATATAATGTAGACAATAAATGACAACAAAATAGGTGGCATAATTTCTTGAGAATGTGCAGTTAATGAATATTCCAATTCTTATGCTTTCAAATAAGAAACATTAAAATAATAACCACTCTTATCACTTCAGAGCAGGATTGAGAGCATCTGTAGTTAGAGTAATGTGGTGTTTTCACTTCCAACCAAGTCAGTTACATCAATGAACCAGTAAATATGAAGCTGTAAATAGTCTAACATAATTACAGTATGACAATCAAATCAGGGATATAACTGAAACGGTCAAATCATACTACCTGACTCCCATAAGGGCCAAAGAATGCTAACTATGAGGAAGTACAGCTATTTACAGGAAGGAGATTTATTTAAAAAACAGCAGGAACGTGAGGGGAAGAACGTACTTATCCAAGATGCACTGCACCAGCAAACTCTCCACATCACACACATCAATGTTCAGCTCCTGTAAAAAGAAATACAGACAAAACCCATTCTCACATCTGTAAAGTATCTTGGCCAGTGTGATTTAACATTAAATGATGCACAGGATTCAACATACTGCAGATCTTAAAGTAAACATTGTGTTGCTAAGGCTGTGGGGAAAATCTATCAAGTAAGCTTATAAAGTAATAAGTAAATAATTAAATACAAAGAATAGATTTAAAACACCTTAACAGACACAGTCATGACTTATTTTTATACTGCTTTTTAGTTCCTCTTCTATTTCTTGCTTTTCTTGTGTGGCTTTCTTCGTTTATGATTTATGATCATGCTGAAACTGTATTTCATGTGCTTGTAATATATGCTTATTAAGGAATGCCAACAAAGCCAGATCTGGAGAATGTGACTTAAAAAAAAAACAACTATATTTTGATTATACCTTTTTCATTTGATACGAGTGGCTTTCAATACAGACTGATTAACATGTAAATAAACCATTTAAAATGATTGTCAAAAGGTCACACGGGCATCAGGGCAAATAATACTCCAAGAGGATGCGATTAAACAGGAAGATGACACAAAGTCAATATGCAGGCCATTTTTGCTCACATGGACTTACCTTAGAAATGAAAGGGATGTGTATTCTTGTGTATGGCTTGATGAGTTTAATAAGTACTTGTGTTCTAATGTTCCGCAGGAGCTCTGCAACAAAACATCACGTAATTAGCTACACATAACAATGTTTTCCCAACATCTCTATCATGTAGGTGGACTGAAATCACGTCTGCCACTCACCCTCTATGTGTTCTCTAATGAAGGGGTCATCCATTATGTTACTGTGATTTGTTTTCAAGATTTTCTCAAATTCAGTGATGTCATTGTTTTGGTAGGCGCTGGAAGGAAAAAAATAGTCAGTGTCATTATATGATATATACTGTGTCTCCGTGACCCACAGAAAACGCTCATCTTGACTGCTGTCAGACACATTCCAAAACATCACATTTATAGAAACACCATTCTTATTACAGCTGTGGATGGGTGTCCTTAGTTTCATGTTTATGTAAAAAAAAATTAAATATGTGCATAAAACCTTCGTGATTTGAGACACTGCCTGTTATTTATGTAAACATGAGCACAAAAAAGGAAGACAAAAGTCATATGTCATCTTCTACTTTTGGCTGTTCCCATTAGGGGTCGCCACAGCGAATCATCAGTCACCACCCAACTGACAGGTTGCATGTTAAACTTGGCACGTTTTACGCCGGATGTCCTTCCGGATAATGTCTAATGTCAGAGTCACCAATCCCTGCATATCTTGGACTGTGGGTGGAAACCGGAGCATCCAGAGAAAACCCACACAGGTGAAGACAAAAGTCATGTACCGTAGTTTAAACAAATACTGTAAAATACACAGAAATGTTGCCAGGACACTGCTTTAGGAACTGGTATAAATCATGTTAAAACCATTATTGTTGTTAATCTGTCATTTTGTACTAAAACAAAATGATTCAAGGCATACACTGAAAAATGTTAAACACTGTTAAAATTAGCCTGCAAACTGGGACATAGGGAATAAGAAGCGCAGCAGAAATGCTCCCACACAGAGTGAAGACATCTGGCTCCAACAGATAATCCATTCAAAACATTACAGGAAGATTTTTATCACTAGCACTCCAGGTCCAATTTTACTGCTTTGACCATCAACGATTGCATTTTCCTCAGCAACTCGGTTGTGATACAAAGCTGTACAGTCAAGTGCACTATGCCCACTGTGTTGAGGGCATGCAGGCAAACACCTAGAGTGCACTTGAATAAAAAGCTGAATTCAGGATTATTCAATTATTGTACCTCAGATGTGGCATGCTAGGGACTGGCTGGTTGTACCCATGATCAATTACATCTCTCTTTTTTCTCCTTTTAAGATTACTGATGGAGTCAGTGGCTTTGCATTCACAAATTAAGAGCCCACAGTGACTTTGCAAGACAAAACCACACAACAGAGCACACGGACAGTTATTCAACAAACAGATTACAAGTCTCAAGAATAACATTGTCTCATTATTCTTGTTGCCTGTTCCTTACTAAGACTTGATGTAAACAAACACTGTTTTATTAATACACAAATACACAAACTTACCTTACTAAGTTTGTCATTGCTAGGATCTCTGGGTCATTTTTGTATGGTTTGGCCTTTGAAAAAAACAATATATACATTATCTCTGGAAATACAACTCTCATACATGCTCAATGATCAAGTACAAAACCCACAAATACCTTCAGCAAATGATTGTAATTAAACACATTTAAGATGTGCTTTATCACAAATTCAATATACATAGATTTATGTTGCAACCAGCTAGTATGTGTCTTATTCTCTCCCCTATGGATATTCTCACATCAAGTATATGCAGAGTTATTAAAAACAAATGTTTAAATTGGATGCAATTGCTTTCATACCTCTTGAGAGTCAAAAGGGTTTATTCCTGACTTCATCAGCATGTTGGCTAGGACCAGGTATTTCAGGCACGTTGTCCTTCTTGGGCTGCCAGACTCATCATAGTTTTTAAAGGCCTCAAAGAAATCTGTGTGAGCTTTCTCAAACTCGCCCTCTCTCAAATGCATCTTTCCACCACACTCTGGTCAGAAGCAAACAGATCATTCAGCAAACAGCTACAAGCTAGTGCAACAGAGAAAGGTAAATGAAGGAGAAATGTACACCATCATACCTCTGATAACTCCCATTATGAGTGGATGAGGAATGGCAGATTTAATATGAAGTGACTGCTCATACAATGCTTTCAGTTTCTTGTTGTTTTTTTGTGCTGTATACATCTGGATCTCCAGAGCATAGATCTCCAACAGCTGTGTGCCTTTCTTAAGGTCATCCTCTCCATCATCTGTCTGTTGTTGAGTTAAATACAGAACCAACTATGAGATCATTATTGCTGTCAAATCTACAAAGGGTACATTTATAAATAAGCCTAAGGAAAAAAATGACAATTTCTCACTCTTCTCATATACTGAGTTAGCGATACTTTTCACTGGTTATCACAAGTGACCACATGACTGAGCAATTAGCAAGTTTAGCCATCTCAAAGGACTTTGGAAACTTCCTCTTTTGGTATGAAATCAAGGACACATACTCAGTCAAAAAAGGATTATGCATTGACCTATTTACCTGACATGACTGGTGAAGTTGCCTAAGGATCTTTTGCAATTTCCCATATTCTTCTCTCTCCAAATACAGCTTTCCCAACTGCAGAGACAAAACCACAAAAACAGAGAATTTCTGAGCACCTGTTTCACAAGGAAATGATGATTTAAAACTACTTGGGTTCAGTGAGGAACCTTTGCATACCTTTGTGTTAGTTTTAAACCACAGTCTGTCATTTTTTGCATCTTTCAAAGCCTCCAGTGTGGTTTCGTAGAACTCCTGTAGCAAGTCCATCTATTAACACAAAAAATGCATTTCTAACAACTGGTACTGGAAGGTTCACAGTTCAGGGCACAACCAGATGGATTTTCCTGTCTCATATTGTCTATCCATACCTGTTTAGAGGTAGAGATATAGTCCAGAATGGAGTTGATGGACTTCTCTGAGTAGTTCCGGGTGACAGCGCTTCTGATGTATGTAAGAAGCTGCTTGTATCGATTCATCATCTCTGGAAAGTTGGTCTACAGGGTTGAGACAGAAAATCACTCATCAGTAAGTCTCGTCTAGTGGGATGGGTGTAAAAAAAATGTTATGTTATATGTTATACAGCATACCAGCTTGAAGTTGATTTTGATCATCTGTTTCAGTGCTTTGAACCCCCATTCTCCTTTCTCTCCTTCTAGTTCCAATACCTGAACACACACATACCACGGGATGTCTGTAAATATCGTACTTTTAATAACCGAGATACACAGAGAGTTACAGAGAACAGACTGTTTTATGGAGCACCACTCCACCTTCTGGAAACTGCTAAGTGCTGCTTTGGGATCGTCCTCCTTCAAAGCTTTGGAGTTGTAGTACTGGTTCTCCAGGTCAACATTTGGCTCTGAATTACTATCTTCTGAGTACTCCTAAAATTAAACATATAAGCGTGTGAAAAATCAAATTAAAAATTCAGTTCAAACAGCAGAAGTAACACGTTTGTTGACAAAACACTTCATAAAGTCTTCGCTCGCCGAGCAGCGTGGTATATTGCCGCTAACAGGCTATTATTCTGAAAATGTGAGCCTTGAGCTAACGTTAACTAACGCAGTGGCTTGCTAACTAACATTAGCAGACTGACTTGCTTTTCGTGCTTGCAATTTATATCCAGTGACAGCTAGACGCATGTATCGTATATTAACTATCCGATATGACCAAAGTTTATTTATATTAGCCAGCTGTATATTACCTAAAACCAACTATCGTTAGCCAGCTAGGAAGCTAACAGTAGTCATTCGCTGTCAGCTTGATATTAGCCAACAAGCTAACTAAACAGCTAACATTAGCTAGCCCGTACTATTGGCAGTTCACTGTTAGCGCTCAGCGAACAAAAGGTTGGAACTTAAAAGCAAGCTAAATCATTTCAGTTTTAAGTACCAGGTCGTAATCTTCCTCATCATCGCACATGAAATCGTCTTCCATGTCAGACATCCTAATAGTGCTCCTTGTTCTTATTCAGAGAGAGACAGTAGGCCGGCCTGGACTGTGTTTTGCAGCGGTGGTAAGGTGGTGTCAGGACGACAAGAAGCAGAAACATATTTCCGTACCTAGATGGCGCTGTTGGATCGCTTGACATACATAGATAACGCTACACTGCAAATGATGTATGATTTATCAGATGCGAGCCTTTGGATGGTATAGCATGACGTTAAGATGATAAGCATTAGACTTGAGTTGCCAGATATTTCCATTTGGTCCTATTTTACACTCTACGACATTTCAGAAAAGATTTTTAAACGACTAATTAGCTACAAGTTACTTTCCAGATTAGAGGAGGCCATTTGATCAGTTTACAAAGTATGATTAATTATTACACATTACTCCCTATTTGTAAGCTAGACCAAATCAACCTCAAACAGCTACAGCATCACACATTTAGCCTATGTATTAGTGTCAATAATCCAATTATATAGTGACATGCTGCATGATAAGAACTCAACTATCATTATTATAAGTACATTTGCTGTTAATAATTATGTCGTATTTTTATTGAGTTTCATTGCAGGACCTTTACTTGTAGCTGAGGAATTTTTACATTGTGCTAGCAGTGTAAGAAGTAATCAGATTTTCTACTTAAGTAAAAGTTGTAATAACACTATGAGTGTTTTTACTCAACAAGTAAAAGTCATGCACAGAAAATTTTACATGCATAGGCATGTATGTAGCTGTGGAGGACAAAAATACAGAGACAACTCTGAATATAATGTAGTCTAGTACAACACCTTATTTAACTATGACCTCGATAATAATAAATATATAACTGAATTTATATATTTATGGCAATTTCAGCAAAACCTGAAACATTTTGAACTTCATAAATACAGAAGTGAAAGCAGAAGATGTACCTAATAAAGTGACCGGTAAGTGTATATTGTATGTATGCCTTAAACGCGCAAAAGGAAAACTACTTGTTATGCAGATTGATATAATCTGTCCATATGTATTTATGCATTCATGTATAAGGATCACTTTAATGATGTGTGGCTAATTTTAATTACTTTATGTACTGATGGATAGCTTAATTAATAATATTAAATTATCATTTTCTTGTTGATTTTTATATTAATAATAATATTAATCTGCAAATTAACTAGGTATTATAGCTGTCAAATAAATGTGGTGAAGTAAAAAGTACATATATGAGTAGAAGTATCATAAAATGACACTACTAGGTACAGTACAAACACCTCAAAACTATAGTTTGGCTCTTGAGTATGTACTTAGTTGCTTTCTACCACACCATTGTGAAATGGCTCCTTTTAATTAAGCAGTGGATCTGGATACCTCTTCAACCTCTATTAACACTGCAATTCTATGTGTACAGCCTAGCGTAAAGGCACACTTAACTCAAACATGTATTTTTATACACTATTCTTATACAGTACTAAATGTCTTGTTAATATTAATTTCCAACACTGTAAATGCCCCATGAACTCCACTTGTGCAGGTCAGATTTCAGTCAGCCCTGTGAATCAGGTTCCTGTCAAAAGGATTTCATGAATGCTCTCTTAAACAGTTTTGGCTGCCACACAGAGAGACCACTGGCAGCATGACATCAATCTCTAGCCTCTCTGCCTCACTCAGGGGATCATTTCATATTCAGACCAGTACAATATTTTATTACTGAAAATGTTTGCAATCAACGTGTGTGTCATCATGTTCAAATTTGTAAAAAACTGATGGGTGTGGGTGAAAAAACGTAAGTTCATCACCCTATCAGTCAGTTTAGTCATAATATTTATAATATCCAGACATGAATCACTAACACCAATACTAGAGAGAAGAATGTGTTCACAGACAGATTTATAACTATAAAAGTATTAACTATGTCGAGAGTAATATGACTTGTGTGAGTGCATGTGTACAAATGTGTCATAGACCCTGCACTTCTTCCACCATATTATCTTTCATGTGTGCACTGAGAGAGTTATTGCATATCTTCCATAAAGCCATGCTACAGCTTTCTGTTATTTTCACATAGAAACCAAAATATTCTAATTGCTCTGCATTAGTGCTGGGCTGGTGACTTCTGTGTGTATGTGCACTCATAATAGTGACATAATACCATACGTGCACACCCATTTGCGTGAAATATACCTGGAATACACTGTTATTTCCACAGACTCACTGATCTAGCAACACATTTCCCATCTGCAGTGGGAAGATGCTGCAGTACTTTAAGAGCAAAGGAGGACCGTCCAAGACCAGGCTTAATACTGCTCTATCCCAGGTATTAACTTAGCGCCAAATACTCTTATTAATAGAACTGAGTCAGGGGAATGGTGCGATAAACACAAGTCCATCATGTTTAACCTTGCCATGTAAACCTGCTAACCTTATTTAGAGATCCAGAAGTGTGGTATTAAGCCTCATAAACACCTCAGAGCAGCCCCTTTCTTTTCAGATCATTTCTGATGATTCAGTTGATAAAATTAGTACATTGATTTTATTCCCTCAGCATTGATGCATACACTGGGTTTTATAAGCCGTTTAATTTTTCATTGCCAAAAACTCTTTTATACCAAAGCTAAAACCCTTAATATAATCTATTTTCTAAGAGTTACTAAAAACATGAGACAAGAGTCTTTAATATATCTCCAGCATGGCATCTGGCAGCAAAACCTGTTCATCTCAGGAAGCTGCCTGCTTGTATATGCTACACGAATGGCTCTCACCACTAAAGTTCCCACATAAGGGTGCTAACCCTGGTTGTAGGTGCACACATGCAAAGTCACATACATACATTATATTTGTGTGTGTGTGTGTGTGTGTGTGTGGTCTAATGTCCACATTTGCATAATCATGCATATGCGGCTAAATGCACGGAAAACCTGCAGCTGCCAAGCTCTAGGTCATCATGCTGTAGCTACTCTTACTTCTCAACTGATGCAAGATGCGTGACTAGCCACTTAGTTTTCTCTTTATTTATTTATTTATTTATTTATTTTTATTGTTCCCGTTTTTACAAGGTATGTAGAAGTGTTTCAATTTTATGGAACAACTTCCATCAAGCTGTTATTAAAGGTGAAATCCAACTTCAAAAGCTGAAACAGCTGCTGACGCCAAGTCTGCACGCACCTCCTCTCCATCACACGCTAGCATGCTGTGCCAAGAGTGTGGTATGTGCTTTGAATTGGGTATGTATGTTGGAGTTTGACAGCGTTAGGATATCTGGAGAGACTGTGTGTATTACTATTCACTGAACACTTTAATTCTAATATGGGTAGGCTCATTGACACCGTACTCAGGACAATCCAGTAATAAATTATGCCTACTCACTTTCTTGCCAAGAATTAGATGAGAAGATTCTAATATCAGTACAGTAAATATGAAGCTGCAGCCAGCAGCCAGATAGATCGGCTTAGCATAAAGACTAAAAGCAGGGGGTCACAGCTGGGCTGGCAGACTTTTTCATGGACTGACACATCAGATGTGACAGTAAGTCTCTAGGAAGTTACTGGAAATAACCACGTTTCTTCTTGTTATGTTGACCTTTAAGGATGATTTCACATCCAACACTCATTTGAAAAAACATAACAAATATAAAGTCAGACATATTTGTGGTTTTTGTCAACTAAACTGCGCTTAACCTTTTAGAAGAGCAATTCTTCCTAAAATCATAGAATTAATGATATGGAAGTTGGTAAGAGTTTCATTTTTATTTTATAACAACATTATGCTTTTTATTTCATAGTAGATAAAAATCAAAACAAATGTGGCATGTCCAGCTTTTAGGTCAGGCCCAGGATGCAGACTGGTGCAGGACTGGACTCTTGTGAATTACCTACCACCCTCTGCTGCTTCATGTCCTCTCCCTGTCTCTTGGTGCACTCATCCCTGTGAGTGTTTTAGAAACTCAGACCAGGGGACAGAGGATATGTAGACAACCTTGCATATTTCAGATGCTAAGGCAGAAGCTATGACATTAGTGGTTTCCAACTTCACGTTTGATTCAGAACAACAGGACCACATTCAGTATAAGTCTGACAGAAGATGTGTGACTCTTTAGATGTTTTCATTAACATGAGACATAGTCAAATCCTTTGACAATGAAGATGGTGGTTTATATAGAGTGAGCAATGAACTTACCTTCTGTTGTCATAGTGCTAACCTGTCAGAGTAAGCAGAGAGATTTATACCCTCAGCTGACAGCCAAGCTCAGAGTAGCCAAGGCTGTGAATGTGCTTGTCAAAAGTTAAGTAATAAAACCACAGTGTGTGCATAACTCTTCTCCTGTTAAAAGGCTTGCATGTGTCTTAAGCTTTCACATACTGTAAATATTGATCAAATATGTGCCTATTTCTGTAAGTTCACAGCTTAGCTTTAATCTGTGTATTACTGTTTTCTTCAGAGGGTCTTTCTCATCGTGCAAATATTAACTTGTAGTTTTCCTTGTGGTCTGCAGCTATCAAGGGTGCATTGTGCCATATGCCCCGACTGTTCTATTTGACTGAAAAAGATTGGTAGGCTAGCCAAAAACACTGCAGATGTTACAAATGCATGGAATTATTTAATATGGAAGAATGACAGTAATTAAAAAAACCTACATAAATCATCTTAGGCTTTAGTGTGGTTTTATGTAGTTTTTTTAATTACTGTCGTTCTTCCATATTAAATAATTCCATGCATTTGTAACATCTGCAGTGTTTTTGGCTAGCCTACCAATCTTTTTCAGTCAAATAGAACAGTCGGAGCATATGGCACAATGCACCCTTGATATCTGCAGACCACAAGGAAAACTACAAGTTAATATTTGCATGATGAGAAAGACCCTCTGAAGAAACTACATAAATCATCTTAGGCTTTAGTGTGGTTTTATGCTCTACTGTCTGTGGAAAGGTTCTAAGAAGAAAACAGTGTAGTTGTTACTTATTTACTTTCTGTGTGTTTTCATATGTTAGTGATAATGCATGTTATGTGAATATGAGTACAGTTCTCAGTGCAATGCCACTTTGTCTTCTGTTTCAGGTAAAGGTTTCACATTGTGGGATCAATACTGTAAATAAGACTAAATGCCACTAATACTAGCAGTAATATTAATATAACCAGTGCCTCCTTTTGCACTGCTGAATAAAACA